TGTAGATGCTGAGGACATGTGAGAGAATAAAATTGGCATAGTCTCTATCTTTATAGCTCTTACATTTTATTAATACAGTAGAGGCCTGATGCACGGAATTTGGCCCCCGCCCGCTGCTACCATGGCCAGGGGCCTCTGCCACCTCTGCTGAGGCCCCCGCCCACTGCAGCTTTGTCTAGAAGGAAGGACGTTCGGAAGGACGTCTGGTCTAATTAGCATATTATGCTTTTATTATTATAGATTGATAAATAAAAATAAATGTATATATACTTTAGGACATAAAAATTTTTGTATTGTAATTTGAACAATAATACAGAAATAGCTACTGTTTATTGAAAGCTAGAGGCTCTGTCAATATACATATATATCTTACCATTCTAAAAGGTAGTTATTATTATTCCCATTTTGCAGGTGAAGACGTTGGTGCACATAGAAGTTAAAAAATATATCCAAGTTCATTACATCCAGGAGCAAAATTCAAGTTTTCCCAGTTCTAAACTCTCAGGTGGGTGTAAGACATTTTCTGTCCTGAAGAATCCCTAATAAAAATTCTATATAAGGGCCCTAGCTGGTTTGGCTCAGTGGATAGAGTGTCGGCCTGCAGACCAAAGGGTCCTGGGTTCGATTCCAGTCAAGGGCACGTACCTAGGTTGCAGGCTCCAACCTGCCCGGGCCCTGGTCGGGGCTCGTGCAGGAGGTAACCAGTCGATGTGTTGCTCTCTCATCGATGTCTCTCTCTGTCTTTTCCTCTCTCTTCCACTCTCCCTAAAAAATCAATGGAAAAATATCCTCAGGTGAGAGTTAACAACAACAACAAAAAAGAGAGAGAGAGAAATTCTATATAAGGGATACATTTTGGCCAATAATTAACACATTGGGGAAGGTAAGGGAAGGCATAAATGGCTGCAGTGTTATATCTGTTTTTATAAACACCATACAGATGTTAGAAATATATATTTTACCTAATTTATATTTCTACCAACAAATTATACCTTAAAAAGAAAAGTTCTGATTAATAATTAAATGTCTCTCCAATATGTCAAATATGTAATATATTTAAATCTATAGTGAACCAGGCCCTTAACTTCAACTTTTTGAAATGAAATATTAATACAAAAGCTTTGCTCTACAAGTGCATTTATCCTTTGGAGGTGTACACATTTGCAAGCTGTGGCTAAATCATGGCTGTTTGAACACATTAACACTGTTATTTCCCTTTGGCATCCATTCTTGGTGTTCAATATTCTCAACAGAAAACAATTATGGATGAATTAGTTAAACATACATATATCCCCAGGCATGTAAAATCACTTCTATTTATATAGAGGCAAAGACTCTAGTAAGCAACTAGGAAGAAAAAAAATATTTTAAGGTCTAATGAGATTTTTTAGAATCACGTTTTATTAACTGTGATCTGAGAACAGCTTAATCTAATGTTAAGGTTAAGATCCCACTAATCTAGCCTCTAATTTTTTTAAATTTTGTTTTCATAAAGAAAAAATTATGGAATTGTGATTATTTCCATAATTAATATTTGGTTCATTGATACAAATTGATATCCTCTTGTTCTCTGTGTGTGACTTGCTGAGTATTAATCACATTCTGTTTCAGTGACAAGTGATTGAGTATACTCCTTTTCTTGACCTTAAAAATGTCAATTAAATTCAACATATGTGGTGCTGACAGTGCCAATAATTATTTTTAAATGGTGTCTATATGAATGGCTTTGACCAAGTTCATGAATGTTCAGGTAATGACAGCATTGTAAGATGCCATAAACTATATTTTGCAGATGGAGTTCAGATATGCTAAAAAGAGGAGGTGAGAAATAAACTATTATTCGCCACTACACATTTTTATGTTTATACAGGATTTAAAGTGGTGTTTGCTGTGTCATTTTAGTAAAGTGTTTCCCTATAATTAAATATTTTATCTACTTGAACATATGAGCATTGGTAAGAGGCACCATTTTATTTCCTGTCATTCTGCAACTAAAAAAGACAGGAAAAATCATTAAGTGTGTGCTTGTGGCATTGGTTAATAGAATTATGTATCTAATAAAGTTCTAGACCAGCTGTGGGCAAACTACGGCCCTCGGGCCGGATCCAGCCCATTTGAAATGAATAAAACTAAAAAAAAAAAAAGACCGTACCCTTTTATGTAATGATGTTTACTTTGAATTTATATTAGTTCACACAAACACTCCATCCATGCTTTTGTTCCGGCCCTCCGGTCCAGTTTAAGAATCCATTGTGGCCCTCGAGTCAAAAAGTTTGCCCACCCCTGTTCTAGACCGTGGGCCTTAAAGCTTACTTCTCAAACCAAATATGTGTGTTTGAATAACTGACGAATTTTGATAATTCAAATTCTTACTGCCTTGCTAGTAAGTCCTCAGGTTTCACCCGCTCTGCTGGTCTGCACGCCTCACCATGTGTAAGGAGCAAAGCTGTACCTAGAACATTTACTTTCTCTCGCTGGATCTGAAATCTCTCCTCTCCTCTACACATTTGACTCTTCTAGTCAAATTTTTCCTTTTGTTGTGGGTTAAATTGTGTCGCCCCGAAAAAAAGACATGCTGCTGCCCTAACTCCTGGTACCTGTGAATGGGGTCATATATGGAAATAGGTTCCTTGCAGATGTTATTAAGGCAAAATGAGGGTATTAGGCTGCACCCTGAGCCATATGATTGGTGCCCTTACAAGATGAGGGAAATATGGACACAGAAACTCATTTGGGAGCACATGGATAATTCTCAGGGGAATACCATGTGAAGACAGATGCATCTACACACCAAGCAATGCCAAGGACTGTTGATGGTCCCCAGAAGTTGGGAGAGAGGCATGGGACAGCGTCTATTCCAGAGCTTTTAGAGGAAACCAACCCTCCTGACACCTTGATTTTGGATTTGTAGCTTTCAGAACTGTGAGAAAATACATCTCTGTGGTTTTAAACCATCTAATTCTGAAATACTTAGTTACCACGGCCCTAGGAAACTAATAGAGTCATCCCTCTGTATCTGCAGGGGATTGGTTCCAGGATCCCTGCCGATACCCAAATCCTAAGGATGCTCAAGTCCCTTCTACAAAGGCTGAGCAAAATGTATACAGTCGGCCCTCCACATCAGTGCGTTCCCAAGTGTGTATCAAAATTACCGTTTTTAATCTGCCGTGTGGTTAATCTGATGCAGAACCCACAGATCATGGAGGGCCTGTGGTACACAGTTATGTGCTTTAATGTCTAGTTGCTATGGTTTTTAGCATAATACTTATCCATCAGAGAATAAAAGTAAGTGAAAAAATGTCTCCCTTTTCTTTGCAAACAGCAAAGGGATTAAAAATAATTCGTATCTTCTCAGCACCCCCTCCAAAAGTCTTATCATCAGTGAATCATTGATTACCTAAGATGTCAAGAATGTTTAACCTCCTTGTGAACATCAAGCATGAGAAGTCTTTGATTGTTTTTATTTCTTCTGACATACAGTTTGCTTAGTGCATTTTCTACCTGATTACCCGCTTTGCGTGGAAGATATAAAAGCGACCTAAAACTGCCTGGGGGCTCCAGAACTGCTGATGCAGTTATGCTTCTGAGAAACAGGGCCTTCAGACTAATTTTTCTCAGATTCCCAAGTGATGAAACTACTAAGGAGAATTTTTCCCTTTTTTGGTAATGAGTCACAATGGATGTCAATTCCCTGACCCTCTTTATTCCTATTCGATGCTGCTCTTTCCTGGAGCTCTTCATTAGATACAGCTAGGCAAAGCAGGGTGAGATCATTTCCCTCTGTCAATTGTATGAGAGAAAATTATTGTCCACTTTTTTTTTTCTTAGAGAAAGGAGTCATTTGGTGGAATTAAATAAGGAATCCGAGGTAATACATAGCATTTAAAATATCTTCCCTTTGTTATTCAAAGCACAGTGCTGGATGGGGAGGTGATAACACATTTTCATAACTTAAATACAGATGAGTAATTGTAGCATTGCAACTGATATTTGGTGTTCTTGTTGTTTTGGTAAAGTGTCTATCTATCCCTTCTAATTACTTTATCTGATTAAACATGTTAGGACTGGTAAGAAACATCATTTTGTTTCAGGTATCACTTTGCAGCAAGGAAAAAAGAACCAGAGGGAAAGTCACAAATGGTGTGCCCATGGGAATAGATGATGCCAAGAAAGAACAAGAAACTAATTTAATTTCTGGAGAATGAATCCTGTTGCTCTTTAATGAATATATTTAAGTGGAAGAATTTCCTCCTGGACTTTCCTGCCGTGAATAGTGGCATGGAAGTTTGTTGTGGATTCCGTGTTGTATCCTTTCAGGATGGAGACACTCATTCCCCAGGTGATGGGAAACATGGCTCACTGAGGGATCTCGGCTGAGTCCCTTTGATGGAATCCATGGCCACACAGCATCTGGGGAGGGTTGGAGAGGCAGCCTGTATCCAATGGCTATTTGATGCGAGGTATCAAGGCTCAAGCTCTGTGCCTCCAGGTAAGACAACTCTCAAGGCCACCCCAGCTCCACAGCTCTCAGGGGATTGGCCAAGACCTTTGCTATGATTGCATCACAGTTCAATATCTCATATCCTGTCTTCTTCTTTCATTAACTGCTGTTGATCCTCGGGATGCTTCCCTCAAATCTCAGAATCTCTATTGGTCTCTCAGCTAACCAGGCTTACAATCTACATATATAAAAGCCTGAGTGACCAAATGACCAAACAACCAGTCGCTATGATGTTCACTGACCACCAGGGGGCAGATTCCCAATGCAGGAGCTGCCCCCTGGTGGTCAGTGCACTCCCATAGCTAACCTCCGGCAGCTGGCCAACCTCCTGTGATCCCTCCCCGCAGCCGGCCAGCCCCAATGACCCCAATTGGGGGCCACCAGCCAACCTCCCGTGGCCCCGATTGGCCCCGATCACTGGCGAGGCCAAGAGACCCACCCGTGCACGAATTCATGCACCGGGCACCTAGTAGTTTGTAAATTCAAGAAACATAAGACATAGTGAAGGATACTGAATGGTGATAGTGAATACTATTACTGAAAGTGAATACTGATAGTGAAGGATACTGACACTAGATCTAGTATATATGTTAGGTAAAATAATGATCCCCCAAAGATATTCAAGTTCTGGTCCCTGACACCTCTGAAAATGTTACCTTACATGTCAGAAATGACTTTGGGGATGTGATTAAGTTTAGGATATCGAGATGGGGAAATTACACTGGATTATCCAGATGGGCCCAATAAGTTTAGGATCTCGAGATGGGGAAATTACACTGGATTATCCAGATGGGCCCAATGTAATCCCAAGGGACTTTAAAATTGGAGAAAGGAGTCCGGCTGGTGTGGCT